TACGGCCCGGGGCCCGCCGAGGGACCCCGAGCGGCCGGGCCACGGCTCCGCCTGGCAGGCCCCGCTCGCCCGCCCCTGCAAGAGATCCGGTTGCCCGTTCTTTGGCACGCCCGAGAAGTTGGGCTTCTGCACCATTTGCTACGTTGACTATCAGACCAACCACCGTAAGTTCTTTCCTCATCTCTCCCTCATTCTTTCCATTTTCAATTGGCGATCCAAATGTCATTATTATTTCCGGTTATTTGGTCATTTGTCAAATTATTGGGGGGAGAGGGGGGCACGTGATCGAGATAAAGAAAAAAAATCTGACTATGTTGTGAACAAAGGCTACCCCAAAAGTTCCCCATGAAGATATTTTTTCAAGTCAAGTAAAAGAAAGGTCAGAATATGAGACTGAAGATGCAATTTATTCCCACAGAGAAAAGGTCATTTGTCGAGGATAATGCCCAAATATAACCCGAATAAATTTGCGATTGCAAAAAAGTCCAAATTTGATGAGATTAAAGTCCAAATTCACAAGAAAACAAGGTTTCATCTTTCAGGAGTTAACGCTCGATGAACAACAACAAGAAAAAAAAGTCAAGATTGGGGGCAAGATTTACCTTCAGAAATTGATTGAACTGGACGCCCAAATAGAAACCGAAAAGAGTCACAGTTGGGCAGGCCGCGCCCCTTCGAAGGCACAAATCCTTCCGTCGCTGAAGGAATGTGACTTGACCAAACCGGTTTCTCTCCAGTCTCTTTTGTGATGGGTTTTTGTTTATTAGGCAAGACGGCGCTCTTTTTCTTCCCCGCTCATCATGCCGCTGTATGCGTTTCGTTGGGTTGACGAGACCCGGAGGTCGGACAGCGAGCATCGGTCACGTTCCGTCCCTTCTTACCGTTGTGGTTGTCGGCCAGTTGAAAATGAAAAGAAGACACGACGCCCGTCGTGTCCTCGTCTCTTTTCCCGAACTTTGCGTGTTCCCGTCACAGACCTGACACCTCCCGCCCCGGTCCCGATCCCGATCCCGGCCCCGGCCCCGGCTCCGGCCCCGACC